CCCCTGAGCTGGTGATGGACAGAATCTCGGCTGATTCAAGACCAGGAGACAGGGTCCTCTTGCTTTTAGTCCCCAGGTTTGCATGGTTCAAGCCTGTGCAGCTCTGATTTGAGGATGGCTCCTCTGCATTTAGGGGAATATGGGGCCCTTGTCATCATGGGGGATTGACATATGTAAAATTCAGATAGATGGCTGCAAAGATCTTGGGTAATGCCTGGCCCAAAAGAAGGCCTTTGCTGTATACTCAGAGACTGTCAAGTTACCAGGACTCTAGTAGGACATCAGTTTGCAGCCCTCTCCTTCCTGGGGTGAATTGCCTCTGATCTATAAGTCACTAAGGTATTCTTCAGGGGTCACCAGCTCTGTTTGTGGCAGAAGGCACATGACCACTGAAGGAGTCCGTGCTGTTGAGGCCCACACCTTTTCCACATCTGTGACTCATTGGGGACCCTTTAATGTTAACCCAGGGATCTGGGCATCTTTATCCAGGGTGTCATGGAGGAGGGAGGGGCAGGAATACTGGAAGCTACTGGTTGGGTTCTGCTTCCTTGGATTAGAGATTTTAAGTCAGAAATGTTTAAAGCCTGGTCTGGAGTATGAAAAGGAACCACTAAACAAAGAGCAGAGGAAAGAACATTCTAAGTACATGCAAACGCACTGTGGCAGACAAGAATTGAACTTGCATGAGGGATGAAAGGAGGTCAGTATGCAATAAGCTCAGGGAAGTTCAGCCAGCATGCACAGACTTCAAGAAACACAATGAAGAGTTCGGGTTTGAAAATGATTAAAGTAGGAGTATGGCAGGGCCTGATTTAGTATTTGTATTTCCCCAAAGATTGTTGTGACTAGTTACAAGTGAGGTTTGGATTAGAGATGAGGAAGCCTGGAAATGAGATAAATGTCAGGGATTTCTGGGCAGGAAATGGCTGGTGGCCTGGACTAGAGTTGTGGCGTAGGAGGCAGAAACCGTTAGTCACCTCTTTTTCCTCAGAGCTCCTCCCCTGTTCATGGAGCAAGGGGAAGGATGTGTAGACTGAGGGATTCTATCAAGTAAACTTTTAATGTTTACCTGTGGTCTATTTTATGTCAGCTAGTTCTCTGTCCCTATGAAACTACCAGAGACCACAGCATAGAGAGAAGAATGTCTTACTTTGACTCACAGTTTTCGAAGATTCAGTTCATGGCCCATTGGCTCATTGCTTTTAGATCTGTGGGAGGCACTGCATCATGGCCAGGAGTATGGCTTGCACAGACCTCTCACCTCATGGTGGCTGGGAAGCAGGAGAACAGGAAGGGGTGGATGATTATACCCCTCGGGACGAATCCCGAGTCAAGTCCCTCTCATCAGATCCCACCTCTGGAAGGTTTGTCACCTTCAGGTAACGAGGCTGAGGCAAATAAGCTTTTAGGGGATACTTATGATGCAAACCATGACAATTTTCTTGCTTATCAACAACATTATTATTATAGTCACTAGCAAAAGATGTTGAGCATCATCTGGGATGGGGAATGAGTTAACCCCTCACATTGCTGGACATATTTCTGACTGAGAGGAAGTAAGGAAGCACGTGTCCATTCCCTGACTGGGATTTTCTGGGCAGGGTGGTATGAGACTAGGGGGTCTGTTCTGGGATCCTGCTTGTGTCCTTGTCCTTCTGAGAAGAGGCAACACCTGCATGTATTAGGCATGCTGCTGCTTTCTTTTCTTTCTTCCTTTCTTTCTTTCTTTTTTATGTTGGTTTTTTGAGACAGGGTTTCTCTGTATTGTTTTGGAGGCTGTCTTGGAACTCACTCTGTAGACCAGGCTGGCCTTGAACTCACAGAGATCCGCCTGCCTCTGCCTCCCGAGTGCTGGAATTAAAGGTGTGAGCCACCAATGCCCGGCGGATGCTGCTGCTTTCAAGGGAGTCCAGTCATTGGACAAACAGGGATCATTTTTCTTATGTCTGGAAGTGGTTGATGCTGTAGAGCCCTTACCTGTTTCCATGTGGTCTGGTTTGCTGAGCTGCTATTCTGAGATTTTCTTGGGCACCAGAGCATCAATGGATAGCCCAGTAAGGCTGGAGCCAGATCAGACTTAGCTGGTGGCATCAGTTCAGCTGGCAACCAGAAGGCAAAGCTTTGAAGCAGCCTTATAATTTGAAAATTGGTCTTTGCGTTGGGTGGTGATTTTGTGCTAACAAAAAACATCAGAGTAACAATGTGGGTTGCCGTACCTTCATGGGGTTACTCTGGGCTCAGAATCCTTGCTACAGAGATGGAAGTTCCTCACTTCTGGGACTCCTGGATGGTGGTACTTCTCATGTGAGTGTCCTTGAGACACTCCTAGAACCTCAGGTCTGGATGGGAAAGTGACTTGGAGAGGCCAAAGTCACAGTGACCTAAAAGTACAGCCCTCATGGGGGACTGACCTTGGAGAATACACATCTTTCTTTCCTGTATGTGGTCATTTATGATGGGACTGTCCTTCATCACTCAAAGGCTATAGCAGTATTCTAGGTTGGCTGCATTCTTGTCCTCTGACCAGGGAGAAGTTGACATTCCATTCCCCTGCACTCTGAGACTTCTGAGTATGTGCTTTCTCTGGATGTATGCTCCAGAGGTATCCTGGTATTTTTGAAATGCGTCTCAATATAAATAAGGAATCCTATGGAGTGTGAGAGTGCTCAGGAGTCCATCCAGGAGGCAAGGACATTGGTGGACCCCCTGGCTTGCTCAGGTAGACCCTGCCTTTTGCTCAAGGTGCCCAGGACCCTTGCTGGTTTTTACACTAGTGCTTTCTATCTTCTTAAGAGTCATCCCAAATCCCTAGCACTGCTTGGTTTGTGATATGAGTCAACTGATAAGAGATCAATGAAGGTGGTGGACTAAGGGCGATTGCAGTACATTGACATGAGTAGGGAAGTGGGTGTGCAAAGCTGATAGGCGAACATCACTGCTTTTATAGATGTAGGGAAGTGGGTGTGCAAAGCTGATAGGCAGACATCACTGTTTTTATAGATGTAGGGAAGTGGGTGTGCAAAGCTGATAGGCGAACATCACTGCTTTTATAGATGTAGGGGAAGAGAAACCCAGGGGCTAAAACATCACCCACTAAATTTTGTCAATGCCAAATAGAATCTACAAAGTCAAAATTTCATGGCACAGACAGAACAAAGCAAGGGAAAATGAAGTTACAGCCCAGTTTGGCAAACCAAAATGGGACACCGGGCTACTTTGGAATTGGTCACACCAGTGTAAGAAAAAGAAACAGGGATACTTTCCACTCTCAGTCACCAGGGAGGTACCCTTGGAAGTCATCACCGGTGTTAATGTTGGAGATGCTATTCTTTAAATATAGATATTCACCACTCTCTCCTCAGCCCAGAGAGTCCAGGAGGAGGTGTATATGTACTACCGTCCTTGCGTGCACACACGTGTGCATGAGTATGGAGTGTTGAACGAGCCAAGGAGGGAGGAGTATGGAGTATAGTGTGGCAGTTCACCATGAGTTCTGAGTGTGGCAGAGTCTTCCGCTGCCTCACTTTGTGACCTTTAATGAGTCACGCACGCCTTTGTTTTCTTGTGTGTTGAATGAAGACACTTATCTTGCTGCCTAGGAGAGCAGCTCTGCTTCAGCTGCCTTGACTAATCCAAACCCATGCTCTCAGCTTTCTGCTCTGGGGTCTTAATAAGAAAACCTAAGTTCCCAGCCTTCCCGGGGCCTTCCTTCCTTTATACTTGGCATCTATATATTGAGAGCAGGGCAGGAAATGACAAGCTGTGACAGAGGGGGCTTCTCAGTCTAGGAAAGGTCTGTTCTCCACAGACGTGATATTCTGGTAAGTATACTGTACCCTGGGAGTGCAGCAGCTGCCTGGAGCCACTGGGCAGAGGAGGGGAAGAGAGTGAAGGGACTGCATGGTTAGACGTGTATGGCAGGGAAGGGGGTACAATGGAGACACTTTACCGGGATCTGTGGATTAAGGCTAAAGTCTAATGCTGCAGAAATCAGACAGCAGCTGTGCAGGTGGCTGATGACAGCTGGTACCAAAGAAGGCCTGATGTGCTTGTCTTGATATCTGGCGGATGATAAGTAGATGGCGTCTGTGCATCTCCCACCCCTTCCCCTCTGTCCACGGTAGGCAATGATAATCTGTTATAAGCTTTCCTCTCGTGCCCAGAGAGTCTCAGTACCCTTTCAGCAGCATTGTGGAATCTGATGCCAATCATTTGGCTTACAGTTGAAATGTATTGCCTGTGGCTGTTGTGATGGGGAAGACATAGACTTTGGAACCCAGCAAGTGTATTGAGCACTGTGCAAGCATGTTGGGTGCATATCTTTTGATTGCATGAGACAGATAACTGACTCATCTTAACTCAGCAACAGCTAAGGTACTAAATTAACTTAATCATCTCAGTGATGGAAGAAAGTGGCTTGGGGAAGGCCTTAGCACAAAGGTCCCAACACCTCCCAACAGTGCCTGCCTGGGACCACATTCAGATCACTTCACTGGATGTGAGCTTACTTTAGCCTAACCCCCCACTGCCTTGTGTTTATCTCTGCTCTTGGAGTACGAGTCAGAGGTGAGAGTATCACACTCTTCATTGTACTGTCTTTGTATCGTCAGTTCCTGTGCTGGTATGCCTACTCATTCGCTTATTTTTCCTTCTTCCTAAATGGTTGCCTTAATTTCACCTTCCCCTGTACTCTTTCTCACTAACTCAGTACTATGAAAGCAGTCTCACCTCTTGTCTAAGTCAAGGCAGTGAGACCAGAGAGGAGAGTGACATGCCCAAGGTCATCCTGTTGAACTAGGTCAAGCAAGGCCTAGAATAGATTTCCTGGCTGTATTTCTCAGCATACATATTAGTGTTTTTGTATGTCACCTCCCAAGTTCTTGCAACAGCTTGAAAAAAGATTTTTTTCTTTGTTTTTTTTCAAAACTTGTGTCTGGAATCCAAAGTGTGTCCTCAGTGTTCCCATTTTCACCATAGTGTTGTCTTTTCTTTCATTGCAGGTTCCAACTATGGGAGCCCACGCCCAGCTCACGCCAACATGAATGCCAATGCAGCTGCAGGGCTTGCCCCCGAGCACATCCCTACTCCGGGGGCAGCGCTGTCCTGGCAGGCAGCCATTGACGCTGCCCGGCAGGCCAAGTTAATGGGCAGTGCTGGCAACGCAACCATCTCTACTGTCAGCTCCACACAGCGGAAGCGGCAGCAGTACGGGAAACCCAAGAAACAGGGAGGAACGACTGCCACACGGCCACCCCGTGCTCTGCTCTGCCTGACTCTGAAGAACCCCATCCGGAGGGCATGCATAAGCATTGTTGAATGGAAATATCCTTTATGCTCTGGGCTGGCCAACGTGTTCTTTGGACCTGCAACTAGGGGCCGGCTGGTCCTCTGGGGATACCAGGCATAGACTTGGGCTGGTGACATTAAGTCTATCTTGTATTTGCTGCCTCAGTGATGAAAGTTAGAAATATAGATCTCCCTGCTAGACTCCATGAGTCATTATCTCAGAGGACAAGGTCCCAGAATTTGTGGGTATTACAAGAACCCCTAAACCAAACATTCAAAAATCTCACTTTTCCTCAAACATAAAATCTTACAGTATCAACATGATGCCATAAATGGAAAGTTGTCCACTTGATTTTATGTGACAGGTTGCAGTTAAAATGCAGGTGCTAAAAATTTGTGTTGTCTCTATACAAACATAAGTGAATTTCAAGTTCAGACTTGGGTTCCATCCCCAAGATTTCTCATTATGAGTCTGAAGAGACTCCAAATTCAAAACAAATCTTAAGCACACAACACTTTCAGTCTCAAGCATTTGAGAGAAGGGACATTCAACCTGTCACAAGTAACCCCAGAGAAAATTTGTGTATAGTCGATGTGGAATATGAACTTGTATCCAAGCTGCCTGCTCGTGTAGCTGTTCATCATTGATGCATGCTTCTCCACAACATTCTTTCCTATGGCCTGTGCTGTGGTGGCTCACAACCTGACCTCTTCCTGGTGCGAATGGGCCGGGAGATGCGTGGGAGCATAGAGGTCAGTGCTCTAGCTGTTGGCATAGGGCTTGGAAGCAGGGGTTCTCAGCCTGGGCTCTGCAGTGGAATCACCTAGAAAGGCCTGTCAAATTCTAGGTGCCACAGGTCCCATTAGTCCCCAGACAGTCTACAGAGTTCTCCAGGCAAGGCTGTCGTATAGCCAAAGTTGAAAGCATTATCTGTAATAATGTGTATCTACTTTGAACACACCGAAAGGATTCGAGGGGCTTTTAAAAAACATGTCTTTGAAGGCTGTACTGTCACCACGGACACAAGTCATAATGTCTGAGTATTGAGTTACAGTGGAAAAGGCCTCAAAGCTCAGCCCTGATTATCACAAGGGATGGAATAAGCAACATGAAACTCTTCAGGTCACATGGCCATGGATAGACAGTGTTAGAACCCTGAGGCTTAGTGCTGGGTATTATCTTTTAAGTCATAAATTCAAATTTGAGTTTAAAAAGTCTAATTCAGTGTTTTAAAACTCATATTCTTTCTGTATGGATGGAGTGCTCAGTTTCATTTGTGAGGTTCTAGGGTAAGATTTAAAAACCTTGGGTAGTGGTTGGAAGGTAAAAGAAGATGACCTGGGGTGAAAATACAGTTTAGTGGAGCAAACATCACTCCTCCTTGGAATATTTGAATCCCTTTCCAAAGGTAACTATGACGGGATGCAGTTCTGAGCAAGAGAGCTGCTGCTGAATTGTCCTGTTTGCTAAGCCACACACAGTTCATTAATGGGTGAGAAGCTGGGCTTGGTCAGTACTATCAGGCCACCGTCAGAGTAATGGAATAAGAGAACTGGGACCTTGCAGATAACCACTATGAAAGGAGAGAAGGTAGACCCTGAGATCCAAAAACGTTTCTTAATTTATATAGCAGGGGATGACAAAGTTGGTTTTAAATTCAAACTCCCCACATTTAAAATCCATGCACTTCCCAAACTCCCAGTGCTATAGTACTGAATAGCGTGCCCAAGGACTAGGCAAGGCTGGATAGTAACTAAGTGGTACTAGACAGTTACTAGGTGGGACCAGATAGTGAGTTACTAGTTGAACAAGATAGGTATCAGGTAGGACTACATAGTTACTTGGTAGTACTAGATTATAAGTTACTAGGTGGGACTAGATAGTAACTAGATGGGAAGACATAGTTACTAGGTAGAAATGGTTACTAGATGGAAGTAGTTACTGGGTGGGACTAGATGGCCATCAGCTGGATACTCAGGAAGTGCACTCCAGGCCTACAGGGACTGGAATCTGCAGCCCCTCCTGGATGATTAGTGTGGCTGACCCTCCTGAGAGAAAGTGCTTTCCCACTGGGGAGAGGGAGGGGATGCAGCACACAGTATTAGCTGTGTGAAAGTTCCAGACTGCCTAGGATACATAGGGAGAGAGCCTCATGTACTCAACAGCTCTTGAAAAGGTGGGGCCTGGTATTCTCACCAGATGGGCAGTTAAACAATGATTTGGTTCTTGGAGGATGGCATGAGTGCATCAGACTCTCTATGTACTCCTTGCATCTCTGCTGCAGCTGTCCCTGTCTGCCTGTTTGCCCTCTTGACATAACCTTATCCTCCATCATCAGCCTGGAGCTTTAGTATGTGGTGATGGGTGGGGTGCTTGTGTGTGTGTGCATGGAGCAGGGGAGGTGGGGGACAGCACTTGAAACACTTCAAGCTTGGCTCCCTGACCTGTAGAGGAAGTGAGGGCATCTGATGTGTAGGTATATTCATGGGGCCTGGCTCTGTTGCCTTCCTCTGCCCCTTCCTGATAGGGCAGCAGACAATGAAAACTGAACCTTGCAGCTGGGGCTAACAGTCCTTGTCCTGAGCAGGTTGGGGCGTGGTTAGGAAGAGAGGGTGCAATATGAGGACCAGAAGAACTAGCTTTCTGAAATGCCCTCAGGGCCACCCCAAGGCAGGTCAGCACAAAGTGGTCCGAAAACTGACTCAGCAACCTACTTTCTGGGTCTGGGTCCTGTTCTACTGCTAACTTAATGACTTCAGATACAACACAACCTTTGTAAGCTTCAGTTTCCTCCATTAGCAGTAGAGAGTACTGTCTCTCTGCAGATGTTTGGTAGCAGGGAATGGGGCAGTCATCACATGAAGGAGGAGCTGGATCCTGTCCTTGCTGTCATGTCCCTAACACTAGCTCCTGTCCACATTGCCACCTCAGGGCTGCAGGCTGTAAAGAATGAGCCTATTGCTAAGGCTGGACTCTAAGCCTGGTTCTGCTCCTTGACTTCTGGGGATCGTGGGCAGGTATGATGATGGTCGTGTCTGTAAAGTGGAGATTGGTCAGGCCCTCCTCACATGGACAATGGCACATCTTATAAGGTTTCCTCAGCTCTGCCATGGGGCTGCTGGGAATCCATCATGAAAGCTGTCATTTAGATTCCCCCTGAGTGCAGAACTCTGTGCCCTAGCCTAGCAGGCCTGTGAATCCAAGCTTGAATGCTGTGGCATGATATGACACTGGTCATGGTGGCAGGAAATCCGGTTCCAGGACTGCATGACCACTCATCTGTGGGATAGTTCTTAGTTTTCCTGGGCCTCAAAGGTTTGGAACAGATAATCTCTGGGGTCTCTTCCTGCTTCAAAATCTGTTACATCTATGAGAGTCTAGTTGGTTCCTTTTGTTACGAGCATTCTTCCCGCCAGCCTGGTCCCACTACCACGTCAGTCTCAAATGAACACACAAATGCTATATTAGTTATAAAGCTGTTGGCTGTTGGCTTGTGCTTTGTATTGACTAGCTCTGTCTTAGTTATTAACCCATTTCTATTAATCTATGTATTTCTTCATGGTCTTATCTTACCAGGGAATGCTGGACTTGTAACTCCTTTGGCTGTTACATGATGACTGCTAAGTGTCTCCACAGAGAAGAGAACAATTTCCTGTTTGTCCCTGCTTATGTTCTGATTCTGCCCAGCTACGTTACTTCCTTTCTGTCCAATCAGCCAATCAGTGTTTTATTCATTAACACACAAGAGAAACATATACACAGAAGGACATTCCCCATCATCCTCCATCCTGCAGTTTTCATCCATTCCCTTCCTCTCATTGGGTTCTGTGCCGGCTAGAATTTTTGTCGATTTGGCACAAGCCCAGGGCATGTGGGAAAAGGGAACCTCAATTAAGAAGATGCTTCCATCAGATTGGCCTGCAGTCAAGTCTGTGAAACATTTTCCTGATTAATGACTAATGTAGGAGGGCACAGCTCACTGTAGGCAGTGCCGCCCCTGAGGAGGTGGTCCTACGTTGTATAAGAAAGTTGGCTGTGCAAGCCATGAGGAACAAGCCAGTAAGCAACACCATCTGTGTTCTCTGCTTCAGTTCCTGCTTCTAAGTTCCTGGCTTGAGTTTCTGCCCTGACTTCCCTTCCTGATAGCTATAAGCTATGAACTGTAATATACCCTCTCCCCTCCCCAAGTTGTTCTTGGTCATAGAATTTTATCATTGCAATAGGAGGTTAATCAGAAGGGGCTCTGTGAAAGAGGCTAGGAACTTTGTGGGACCACAGATTGGGACTTTCTGTGAAGTGTCCCTCTCTTGCTTTCAGTGGTGGGTGTGGTGTGGTCTCAGCAGAAGACTATTGCTCACTGTGCCCTACCCTGTTACTAGTGAGTGAACCCTGGGCTGATGCTCTATATCCCAGGCTATCACTACTTGTGGTAAGAGGACATTTCCAGTTAGTTGAGCCTTGTACACTAAAGACAGGGTCTCTACCTCTGAATCCACAGTGTACATCCTGCTTGGCTTGGGCAGTTCTAAGCCCTAAGGAGGCAGAACACTCCCAACTTTGCTTTCAAAAACTGAAAAAGCAGCCAGGTGGTGGTGGCGCACACCTTTAATCCCAGCACTCGGGAGGCAGAGGCAGGCGGATCTCTGTGAGTTCGAGGCCAGGCTGGGCCGACAGCCTCCAAAACAATACAGAGAAACCCTGTCTTGTAAAACCAAAAAAAAAAATGGAAAAAGGAAAATCTGTAGATTTCCTTGAAGAGCCACTTTGTTTAAAACTCCACTCCAATGCTTTCCCTAACCATGTATGCATGGGTCCATGATGACAGTTTGTGAGCCATGAACTATCCTGGAAATGGGGTCCTGTGGGGAATCTTCCCTGGGGCAGACAGGGCTCTTTACCATGAGCCCACATGAGGAAAATGAAATCAAATGTAACCTAAATAAACAAAAGAGGGGAAGAAGTATTTAGAAACCTGTGTTTACTCTGGCACGCGACTGGCCTCCACTGCTCTTGGCATATTAGGAAAAAATTTTGGCGGGGGTCCACTAGAAGCACTTAAAAGGCATATGTTTCTCTTCAAAATACAAGGGGCTTGGAATGCATTGTTTAAACAGAATTCTTACGAATCTTTGATTCATTAAATATATATATGTATGTATGTTTGTTTCACTTGTATTAACAGTGGCATTGATTTCCTTAACTCCTTTCTCAGACCATTTGAAATAATTATTTTACTGACTATTTTTGCCAATTGTGTGGCCTTAGCGATCTATATTCCCTTCCCAGAAGATGACTCCAATGCCACCAACTCCAACCTGGTAAGTCTGGCACTTCTGCGTTTCTTACTACTTGTAAAACAACTGAGCTTAGACCACATGGATTCTGAGTGCAGGGTGGGAGAGAAATGAGATGTATGTTTGACAGGTGCCAACATTTGGCACAGCTCAGATCTTTGGGCCATTTTTCTTTTTTTTTTTTCAGTCAGTACCTGCCTTATCACAGTCTGCTTCTAGAAAGAATATCCCAGCCAGGCCGTGGTGAGCTGTGCACATGCATGGGTGTGAGTGTAGTGGGCCTTGTGTGTGCTATAGTGAACTTCTTAATTCTCGAGTGCAGGTGCTGGAGCGAGCGTTCTTGGGTCGTCAGTTGTGGGTATTTTGAGTGTCACTGTTCCATTGTCAGGCTTTGTTTGTGTGATCATATCATCCTGCAAGACGGCATGATAAATAATTTCTAGGAAGATTTTGGCAAAGTTTCCTTTTGCGGCCGAGAGGTATCATTGAGTTAAAATGGCTTGATTTTCTTGGGAAAGGCGGCTTTCCATTTGGATTGCATAGAGGCCAACACTGGCAATTTGGGGTTAGTATTTGTCCATGGAAAAAGTGGAGAGCGTGTTTACTTTTGGCTGAGTGTGAAGTCATTGCAAATGCAAAGGCCTTTGCTGGTCTGGACATGTGAGGCAAGTGCTGGAATGCACTTGGCAGAGCTGGGGCCGCCTGGAGAGCTCTAGCAAAAGCCTGCAGAGAAATCTCGGCTTTCTCCTACCCGTGCCAAGACACCGGTAGCCTTCATGTGATTTTCTCAAAGCGTGTTTGGTCAACAAACCCACCATCTTTCCTGTCATTGGTGCTTTCTAGTTAGATGAGATTGGACTCTTGCATGAGGTCAGTTTAGGAGAAACAAGAATGCTATGGATTCTCCTCCCTGTAGTTGTGGCTGCTGATCAAGGGGGATCCCTTTTCTCTCAGAACCTTTGACATTTCCAAACAGACTAAATCTCTCAACTTGTGGGTCTTGACCCCTTTGAGGGTCACATACAAGATATCCTGCATATAAGATATTTATATTATGATTCATGACAGCAGCAGATTTACAGTTATGAAAGTTATGAAATAATTTTTTTGTTGGTGGTCACCACATGAGGAACTGAATTAAAGGGTCACAGCACTAGGAAGGTTGAGAACCACTAGCTTAGATGCACATTTTAGAGTGCTCTTCCATTTCCTCAGTTTTTGTAATCAGCTATAGACCTGTACTGGGGAATGTGTTCTGCCATGTGTGTATTGGTTAGGGTCCTTCTGTGTCTCATGGCTAGTATGGGGCCATATACTGAGGATAGCTTCCAAAGGTTCCAGAGAGAGGTACCAAGTATGGAGTGAAGGCATTAATAGAGTCAGCAGGCAGAATGTGCTTGCTGTAGTTCATGAAGCCGATGGAGGTATGATCTTGTTTCTTAAAATAAAGAAATCTTTCCATGTCAAGGTAGTATGAGTAAAGTGTCATCCCAAAGCAGGAGCACCTTCCATTGATTCTAGCTCTTGAAGTGTTTGCCTCTGTCCTCTGCTGCCCTTCCTTGGAGCTCTTGTCCTGTCATTTAACCTGAAGGAGCTTTAAAAGCAGCTCTGGTTAGAAACAGAATTCAGATCTGTTCTCAGGCTAGTGCATCTCTGCCTGGCTAAAACCCTCAGCCTCTCTGTGTATGAGATGGAGGCCTAGTAGGTGATAACAAGAAGTCCGTATTGAACTTGCTTTTGGAGTGGTTAGACACAGGAGATGCTGGAGGGGTGGCAGTTTGTTTCCAACCACAACAGAGTGATGAAATGTTCTAAAACTAGAACTTACCAAAAAAAACCAAGTTGGATACTCAACAGTGAGTAGATTTTGTGGCAAGTAAATGACTCTTTGATAATCTATGGCTCTCATCCCCATTCTCTTCCCTGGAGATGCAGGCATATAACCAACTGGACGGTGGGGGAGGTGGGAACCAAGGATGGATCTGAGGACCCTGCAGACCAAACAAACAAGCCCCACCCCACTTGTGGGCAGAAGTGCTCTGCTGTGGAGATACCCTGGGAGTGCGGTGACCTGGACTCTGCTCTCCTCCTTTAATACATCTCACCTTGACGGTCCTCACCCCTCTTTCCCCTCAGCTCTTGGCTGATTTTACTCCATATACAGGACGTTGCCAGTGATCAATCCTGGACCTCTCTCTCTCTCTCTCTCTCTCTCTCTCTCTCTCTCTCTCTCTCTCTCTTCTCTTTCTCTCTCTCATCTCATCTCTGTCCCCTAGCACATAAGGGAAGCATTTTCCTTAGGAAGTGACTCCTAGGACTTGCTTCTCCAGCTCTAGAACCTTCTGTACCAGGGTAGTACTTCCTGCAGTGGAGGCTCATGGGCCTTGCAGCTCCTCTTATGCCTGCCTGTCTGGAAATTTAATTGTGTATAGACCATGTTGATCCCTTCCCATTCAAAGTCATTTGTTTAAATTTTCTGTGCCTTAGATTCTTCATCTCTAAAGTGGGAACAGTAGCCACAATAGTGTCTATATCATAGGCTTGGGGTGTTGACTGAGTCCGACTGTAGCACTTCTTCCGAGAGTGATGAAGGAGGGGATGAAGACGGGGCATTCCCCATCATGTAATTACCCATTACTTCACAATGTTACTGTTGCTGTTGTTAATCACTGTTCTCCCCATCCTTCCCAGGAGAGCACTGCTTTTTTCCCCTAGACTTCATGGCCCCTTTTCCCTGGCATCCTCTCTCCAGGCTCTTCTTGCAGTGGGACATTGTGGGCTCATGTAGTCATTTGGTAAACATTCACACCAGGAGTCAGGTGCTGCATTGGGGATACCTTAAGAGACAGAACCCATGACTAATAGGGAAAGCAATACATGGGTAGAAAGGTCTTATGAGAGGTGATTTCAAGGTCAATATAGGTATTTGGAGCTGGGCTCTGTGGTCATACTTTTTATGGTGCAGTACTGGTTTTGAGTGAATGAGAAGAGCAGGTGACAGGAGATTCAGCTTATGCCAATAGTTTGACTTAATGGCAGGCAATGAGGAGTCCCTTGAGTCTTTGAGAATAGGAGAGATTATTGCAGGGTGAAGGGGATGGCTAGTGTTTGCGAAGAGAGAACAAAATGTTACGAGGTCCAACTGACAGTCACAATAGGCCCACACATGGGGTGTTGGAATCAGAAGACAGACTTTTACGACCACATGCATGCTGTGGTTTTGGGATGTTGATATGTAAGTTTTGTGTTTTAAGCTAAAAGGACTTCAGAAGGGTCACATGTAAGGTACATGGGGGGACTGACCAGGCAAGGATCTGTGGAACTTGTGAATGGAGATACTTGTGGGTGATGGAAGGGCCCGGAACAACAGGTCAGGGAGATGAGGGAGAAAGGAGATGAGGGAGAGGAAGGGTCTACAGGACAGAGAGCACCAGGAACAGAAGGCCCATGTTAGACTCTGTGAGCATCACTGTTTGCAGAGTAGTGGAGGAAGGCAAGTCGGAAAAGGACTTGTTGGGAGTGATGGTCCTCAGTGGGGTCTTGTAGGCAAAGGAGACAGGAGATTAAAAAGTACCCACCAGGGACTGGTTTATGGCCAGGCTTGTTATTACACCATCACATCTTGTCACAGTCTGGTGACAAGAAGACTGTGCTGACCATGATTCTGAGGTGAACTTAGGCTACAAGGAGAAGAGGACGTTAGTCTGAGTGTGTGCTTCACCTGCTTGACACAGTGAGTGTGTCACAACTGCTCACTGAGGCTCTCTGGACAAAATAGTCCCCCAGCAAAATTATTCATTGCCCCTGGAATGAAGCTTGAGAATTCCCCCAGCAAGTTAATAGCTTGTTTGTTTGTCTTAATAGAGACTTGCTGACTTGAGCCACAGCAGAGAAGAGTCAGAGATGTGTCTGAAGCCGTGGTTCTCAAACTCTCTGGCTTGAGAATTGTACGACAGCTGGGGCATTCATGTTCTCAGACCTGCCGTGATTCTGTGTCTAGAGTGGGGTCCGTGTAGCCTGTGTTTTTAGCAATTTCCCCTATTGCTTCTGAAGCAAGGGGGCATGCACTGCTCTTTGTGAAAAGTGATCCAGAATGTTCTCTATTGTGAGCGACTCCACCTTCAGCTCCCTACACAGTCGGTTTCTGTCTACCCACAGCTCTCTCTAGGATCCAAACAGAAAGATGACACATGTCAACTGCTGAGAGGTTTCCCACTCTGCTGGGTGCAAGAGCAATTTATTTAGCAAGACATGCTCGTCCCAGTACAGAACTTGTAAACTCACATGGGTGCCTGCTCCTATTCTCGGTTTCTCTTAGAGCTCTACCAAGTTCCACCCATCCCCATTTCTCACTCTGCTTACTTTTGCGAACAGATGAAGAACCATCCAGAGTAGAGATGTATTTTTGTTTTTAAGGTAGTTCCTCTGCTTGAGGAAGTTTCTGCAGCATAAGCTGCATCTAGCATACATTTTTTCACTCATATCATCTTGGTTACCTTTTCGTGATACTAGTGAAGTGCAGTGAGCCTGAACTGGGCAGTGACATGACATTTCCTTCTTTACTAATCATTGTCCTGTTGTTGACCATGCCACCCACCATGAAGTACATCAGTTATAGCACAGCCACTGTGAGCCCCACCTGCCGACAACTGTTACTCTGTAGGTAAATTCTGAGGTGCCTGGTGAATAGCCTCTACCAGCTGAGAGAACCTATTGTGTGTGCAGAATGCCGGGCTCTTTGTAAACCCTGACGTTCACAAAGACTTGGCTGGAGTTGAATGTTAGCAGGGTGTGATGGCATTTGATGTTTTGTGAAGAACGTGTTCCGTGTACTTTCTAAGCAAAAGCCAGGCTCCAAGTGTCATTAGAGAGGAAGGCAGAGCAAGGAGAAGAATTATATGAGCCTGGCCCTTTTCTCTCCAGCATTGGGACTGACAAGCTTGGAACATTGCAGTCCCATGCACTGTTGTAAAGTTGGGGCAATTAAATTGCACCCTAACCTGTTGTGAAGGTTAAATGAGGTG